AGTAGGCGCTGCGCAGTTCCTTTTGAAAGGAAATATTCGAGAGCAGGGCTCTAGCCAAGAAGGCTGCGGGGAGAGTGGTGACGATGATGATGATGATGATGATGATGATGATGATGATGATGATGGGCCTCGTTTCTGGGCGGGTTGATTCCTCCTCCTCCTCCTCTTGCAACAAATATATGGTTGAGGAAACGTGTTATGGGAACACGAAGAACACGAAGTGTACTACAATTGGCTTCGGGGTTTCAAAACGTGGTTTCGGAGCTGAGTTCTGGGAACACGAAGAGCACGAAGTGGGTGACAGTTGGCTCCGGGCATTCTAAACGTGGCCCGGGAATGGAGTTCGAAACGCGGCTATCAGAGGCAAAGGACAAGTAGGTTGGCAGTAAAAGGGCCCGGGAGCTTCCAACGACTCTCTGCTATCAGTGGATGAACCTCCGAACGAGACACTGCTGTGAGACCACAGGCGCCTGAAGATGACGATCTCGAGAGTGCTGCTTCGAGGAGGGAAAGAAAGAAGGAGAGAGAGAGAGAGAGAGAGAGAGAGAGATGGGATCGAGAGCTCCCGGAGGGCGGGATGTGCCCATCCGAGGGAACGGTGCACCCCCCCCCCCCCCCTCCTCAGTACTGGCGACGAGGATCAAGCTGTTTAGGGAAAGAAGAAACCCCCCCCGCCCCCTATCCTCCCCCGCGGCCTGAGTGGACCACCCAGGCCTGCGGAGGACGTCATAAAGGGTCGGGTACCCCGTACAGAAATGAAAAGAGAAAGGGGAGGGAGGAAAGAATAAAGAGCCTCCCTCGTCCTGCTCCTCCTGCTCCTCCTGCTCCTCCTACTACTGCTACTACAAGTATTGGATTCTGGCGGAAACGTCCAGTGCACGATGACGTCTGGGTCCGCCGTCTTGCCCTGCACGATGACGACACATAACAAACCGGGAATCGGGTGGCGAGAAATCTGACGGAGACATCCAGTAAGCAAAATGTGGCCCGGGAGTGAAGTTTTGGGAGCTCGAAGACAACGAAGTGGCCTACAGTTGGCTCCGGACATCCAAAATCATGCCCAGGAATGGATCTGGGAACTTGAAGAGCACGAAGTGGCCTACAGTTGGCTCCGGGCATTCAAAATGTTGCCCGGGAAAGAAGTTCTGGGAAATCGAAGAACACGAAGTGGCCTACAGTTGGCTCCGGGCATCCAAAATGTACGCCGGGAATGGAGTTCTGGGAAGTCGAAGAGCACGAAGTGGCCTACAGTTGGCTCCGGGCATTCAAAATGTGGCCCAGGAATGGAATTCTGGGAAGTCGAAGAGCACGAAGTGGCCTACAGTTGGCTCCAGGCATTCAGAATGTGGCCCGGGAATGGAGTTCTGGGAGGTCGAAGAGCACGAAGTGTGTGACTATTGCGAAAAAACGCATTTGGACACGAGTTCGGACACAGCTCCCCGGGTCCCGCCCCGACCCCCCTGTGGAGTCATCTGCTGCTCTCTTTTGACACCACTAGAAACCTATCAGCAAAAGCTGTTCAGTAAAAATAAAAAAAATAGTAGTAGCAGGAGTAGTAGTAGTAGTAGTAGTAGTAGTAGTAGTAGTCGTAGTAGTAGTCGTAGTAGTAGTCGTAGTAGTAGTAGTAGTAGTAATAGTAGTAGTAGTAGTCGTAGTAGTAGTAGTAGTAGTGGTAGTAGTAGTAGTAGTAGTAGTAGTAGTAGTAGTAGTAGTAGTAGTGGTAGTAGTAGTAGTGGTAGTAGTAGTGTATAATATAATATAATATAGTAATAATAATCAAAGTAGCAGTCGTAGTAGTAGAAGTTGTAGCAGTAGCAGCCGTAGTAACAGTAGTAGTAGTTGTAATAATAACAGTAATAGTAGTAGTAGCAATAATAGTAGCAGTACGGGTTGTAAAGGTAATATTAGAAGCAGAAATAGTACCGGGTGGTAGCAGTGGTGGTACTACGACTGAGTCGTACGTGTAGGGACACTGGTACTCTGTAATATTGGCCGTAGTCGACGTCGTAGTAGTAGTACTAGTATTAGTCGTACTTCGTGGTGGTATTCAATACTGCTAGTACTTAGGTGTGGTAGTAGTGGTACGAATGCTTAGCAGTAGTAGTAGTAGTAGTAGTAGTAGTAGCATGTGATACAAATTATGATAGTGATGCATAGTGCTAATAGCGCATGCAGTTAGTAGTGCGTAATACTCTTGCTAGTTCTGAGTAGGAGTAGTAGTAGAAGTAATAGTAGTAGTAGTAGTAGTAGTAGTAGTAGTAATCATAGTAGTAGTCGTCGTAGTAGTAGTAGTAGTGATAGTAGTAGTAGTAGTAGTAGTAGTAGTAGTAGTAGTAGTGGTAGTAGTAATAATAATAGTAATAGTAGGGGATGGTAGTAGTAGTAGTAATACAACTAACCGTGGTAGTCGTAGTCGTAGTCGTAGTCGTAGTCGTAGTAGTAGTAGTAGTAGTAGTAGTAGTAGTAGTAGTAGTAGTGGCAGTAGTAGTAGTAGTAGTAGTAGTAGTGGTAGTGGTAGTGGTAGTAGTACCAGTAGTAGTCGTAGTAGTTGTAGTCGTAGTCGTAGTAGTAGTTGTAGTAGCAGCAGCAATAGTAGTAGCAGCAGCAGTAGTAGCACTAATACTAGTAGCAGTAGTAGTAGCAATAGTAGTGGTAGCAGTCGAAATAATAATGCTCGTACTTCGTAGTTATTTAGCAGCGCCGTTATAGTACGTAATAATAATCATAATAGAACTGGTACTGGCCTTATGGCCGTGTCCTCAATCCGTGAAGCTACGACCCGCCCCCAATCCGTGAAACCCGACCCACCCTCGACGACGCGAAGCTCTTGCAAATTTTTGAAACGAATGCGCGCGGCGCTGAGGCGAGAACAACATTTTGGAAACGAATCGCCCACCATCCGCGAAGCTCTTGCACTGCTTTATATACATAACTAGTAACACATACGAATGCGCGCGGCGCTGAAGCGACAGGCACATTTTGAAAACGACCCGCCCCCACGCGTGAACTCTTGCAAGTTTTTGAAACGAACCTGCGCGGCGCTGAGACGAGAACTACATTTTGAAAACGAGCCGCCCTCCATCCGTGAAACCCTTGCAAGTTTTTACAACACATGCGCGCGGCGCTGGGGCGAGAGCCACATTTTGAAAACAACGTGCCCTCAAGCCGCGAAGCTCCTGCAAATGTTTGAAACGAATGTGCGCGGCGCTGAGGCGAAAACCACTTTTCGAAAACGAGCCGCCTTCAATCCGCGAAGCTCTCGCCAATGTTTGAAATGAATGTGCGCGGCGCTGAGGCGCAACCACATTTTGAAACAACCCGCCCTCAATCCGTTAAACTATTGCAAGTTTTGAAAGGAACCTGCGCGGCGCTAACGCGAGAGCTACATTTTGAAAACAAGCCGCCCTCAATCCGTGAAGCTCTTGCAAGCTTCTGAAACGAAAATGCGCGGCGCTAAGGCGAGAACTACATTTTGAAAACGAGCCGCCCTCCATCCGTGAAGCCCTTGCACGTTCTGATGACAAATGCGCGCGGCGCTGGGGCGAGAGCCACACTTTGAAAACAACCTGCCCCTGCCCTCAAGCCGCGAAACCCTTGCAACATGTTTAAAACGAATGTGAACGGCGCTGAAGCGAGAACCATATGCTGAAAACAAGCCGCCCTCAATCCGTGAAGCTCTTGCAACATGTTGAAACGAATGTGCGCGGCGCTAAGCCGAGAGCAACATTTTGGAAACACCCTGCCCTCAAGCCATGGAGCTCTTGCCAGCTTTTGAAACACATGCGTGCGGCGCTGAAGCGAGAGCTAGACTTCGGAAACAAACCGCCCTCAACGGCTCGCCCTCCATTAGTGAAACCATTACAACGTGTTTTAAACGAATGCGCGCCGCGCTAAGACGAGAACCACAACTCGAAAACAACCCGCTCTCAATCCGCGAAACTCTTGCTAGTTTTTAAAACGAATGTTCGCGACGCTAAGGCGAGAGCCACACATCATCCTTCCGGTGCGAGAATAACGCTTCCCGGTGCGGGAAGCGGTATCCTTTTGTCCGGAAGGAGGGGGGGATTCTGAAATACTTCATTAGACTCACGAAAGCCCTTTCGTCCCCAGAGAAGTCGCCAGATGAACCGAACGAAGGAAACCGGGCTGCTGGATTGCTTAACGATATGTGAGAGCTAGACTTCGGAAACAAACCGCCCTCAACGGCTCACCCTCCATTAGTGAAACCATTACAACGTGTTTTAAACGAATGCGCGCCGCGCTAAGACGAGAACCACAACTCGAAAACAACCCGCTCTCAATCCGCGAAACTCTTGCTAGTTTTTAAAACGAATGTTCGCGACGCTAAGGCGAGAGCCACACATCATCCTTCCGGTGCGAGAATAACGCTTCCCGGTGCGGGAAGCGGTATCCTGTTGTCCGGAAGGAGGGGGGGATTCTGAAATACTTCATTAGACTCACGAAAGCCCTTTCGTCCCCAGAGAAGTCGCCAGATGAACCGAACGAAGGAAACCGGGCTGCTGGATTGCTTAACGATATGTGAGAGCTAAATCGAAAGCTGGCATCTGATGCGCAGGGCCGCGCCCCCCCCGAGTCGGCGTGCCCCTCTCGAGGCCTGCAAAAAGATGGCCCTGGCCCGTCCCCTGGCCCCACCAGGGAAGCCAAGATGACCTCCCGGAGCGCCCCTCCGCGGGGCCCAGAGCGCCACAGTGGTCCCACAGCGGCGCGAGAACGAAAATCTTCGGTGGGGGGGGGCGCCTGTCGGGCGCGGCCTAGCGAGATTCTCGCCCCGAAGGCTCTCCTCTGGCCGACTGCCCATGTCTTGGAGCGAAGCGATGGGGCCGTCGCGTGAGGGGTCGGCTTGCCAGGCGCCGGTCAGGCCGCCCCTGAATCTTGGGCCAGGACCTCCCCCTCGGGCCTTGGGTCGAGACCTCGACTCGCCCAGCACTCCGCTTGCCGTGGGCTGCCGGGACCCTGGCAGCCCCCCGACGCTCGCGCGCCTCCGGCTCCGGCTGGCCGCCCCCGCGCGCGGCCGCGTCGGCGCGCTGCGGTCGAGCCGGCGGCCCGCCCGGCGACCGCGGGCTGGAGGCGGCCGGCACGGCCACGCGCGGCGGGAAGTAGCGCTGCCTGCCGGGTCGGGGCGGAGAGGGCTCCCGTCGCGGGCCCAGTCGGGCGCCCGAGCAACGCCCCTGGGGGGCCAAGCGGCCGAGCGGGACGGGAGAGGGAGGGGAATGAGGGGAAAAGACCAAGAGGAATGCATCGCTGCTGTCTCAAGCCGTCGTGGTGTGGGAGTGGGAGGCCCCTGTCCGCCTCAGCTCGGCCAGACGACTCTAGGCTATACCCTCTCCGTTTCTCTTTCTCTCTCTCTCTCTCTTTCTCCATCTCTTTCTCTCTCTCTCTCTCTCTTTCTCCATCTCTTTCTCTTTCTCTCTCTCTCTCTCATTCTCCCTCTCTCTCTTACTCCATATTTCTCTCTCTCTCTCTCTCTCATTCTCCCTCTCTCTCTTTCTCTCTCTTTCTGTCTCTCTCGCTCTCTCTCTTTCTCTCTCTCTCTCTATTTCTCTCTCTCTCTCTCTCTTTATCTCTCTTTCTGTAAGTATATGGATCTGACTTTTGTTTAGAGGCACGGCCAACTTATAGACCCCACTGCGCAACCAACCAACCTCCCCCAACCGTTTCCCTACCCTCCTCTCCTTCTGCCCCCCCTCTTCACTCCGCCGCGATCCCTCCTTCCCGCTCCCCGCTCCCGCTTCCATCCTCTATCCTCATTTCGCCCATCCGCTCCCCTTTGTTCTGACCTCTCCACCACCCTCGGATCCCTTCCTCCTCCCCCTGCTCATTCCACCATCTTTTCTCCTCCTCCTCCTCCTGCTCCTTCCCTTCTTGCGCCATCCTCTCGTTCTCCCCCCCTCCCACCTAATCCTTCATACCTCCTCCCTCCCTCGTCTCCTCCTTCCTCTACCCGCCCCTCTCTTCCCCCCACCACCCAGCCCCTTCGAATCAACCTCTTATCTCATTGCTTCCCTGCTTTCCTCATTCCCCTCAGGACCTCCCAACTACTCAAACTCCCACCTCCCTGCGGCTCTCCTCATCCTGGTCCTACCTCCTGCTCCTCCTCTCCTCCTCCTCCTCCGCCTCCTCCTCCTCCTCCTCCTCCTCCTCCCGCCGTCAGACGTCCGCACTGCCCTTCCTCCCTTCCGACCTCCCTGCCCTCCCCATACCTCCCTCACACCCTGCCATCCTCCCGCATCACTCATCCTCCATCATTCCAACCCCCTACCTCATCTACCCCTTACCTCTGTAGTTCGGTCACGGGTTGACTTCCGAAATATTTCGGCACCTCCCTTACCTCAAACCTCATGTCTCTCTCCCTCGCATTGTGGGAAAATGCGGCAAACGCACACTTGAGCCTATCCGCAAAAAAACGCCCTCGTGGCTGGGGCATGGACTCCGAATCCCACTCCAGAGATCCGCCAACCCCCAGTTGACGGGGGTGACAAGGCGAGTGAAATATTTGACTGTCCCCCATCCGCCATCTCAATCCCTCAAGGTCCGAAAGTGCATTTGAGGTGGGGGGAGGTGGGAAGGGGGGACCGTGCCCTCTGGATGCAGGTTGTTTAAAACAAAGTTGTGTCCTCTCTCTGCCAAAACTCCCTCCTTCCCCTTCTCGGGGGAGGGATGTATCACTGCCCCCTACTTAATAATATGACCAACCAGGAACAATGCCGACCCTATGATCACCCCCCAACCATCCGTGTCGAAAAACAATTCAAAGCACCAACTGCCTACAAATTCAGAGCATGTGCAACCAACCCGATGCGCCCCCCCACCATCCCTGTCAATAGACAATACAAAATACACTTTGGGGCACCCGCGAGCATTTTGTATTGAGATTTTGTCTGGGACGGAGGGGGTGTCAGCATATTGCCTGCTATGTGCGGGGCCACCGCCCCTATCAAAAAAAACAATACAAGGTGCAACTCGCGGCTAAATCTGGATCATACGCGGCCACCCCGCGATCACTGCCAAATAGTTTTTGACAAGGGCGGCGGGGGTGGTGGCGTATGGCCTGCTGTGCGCAGGCCCACCTGACACAATGATAGGCATTGGCATTGGTTTCCGACAAAGATGGTGGGGGCCGACATGTTTCCCGATGTGTGTTGTCACGTGCGCGAGCGCACCTGACACACTCTGCACGTGCCCCGAACGTGTCGCACCTGGCCCGGCCGGAGCACGCGGCACACATGGCGCACGTGGAGCACGTGGCGCATCTGGCGCACCAGGCGTGCCTGGTACGCTCGGGCTCCAGGGGTGCGCGTCGCGCACATGGGATCGGTTTGGGTTTCCAGTAGCTGCCCATCCGAAGACGACCGCTGAACATGCTGAGGCTCGGATGTTCCTTCTGCGTTGGGAGGGCGGGTGTGAGTGAGCTAGACGGCTTGCTATTTAAGAGGGTGTCTTGACCCCTCCCCCTTCCCCCTCCCCTGGGCCTGGAAGGGGCGCCCCGCGAGGGGTTGGAGCGTCCAAGACGGCCCAAGATGGTTCTAAGAGGGCCTCTGTGAGCGCAAGGTGGCATCCAAGATTGCTCCAGCTAGCTCAAGATAACCTCCGACACGCATCCAAAAGACCGCAGAAAGAGCGCGCCCGTGGTCCACTCCCAAAGGAGGGGGTCCCGGGACCAGGGCTTTCCCAAACCAAACCTGGGCCTTCCCAAACCAAATGTTGTAGAATCAGACCGCCGGGTCTTCCCAAACCAAGACCGGGCCCTCCCAAACCAAACGGGTCTTCCCAAACCAACGCCCCCGGCCCCCGGGTCTTCCCAAACCAACCGGGTCTTCCCAAACCAACGTGCCGGGTCTTCCCAACCCAACCGGGTCCTCCCAAACCAACCCCCAGGTGTTCCCAAACCAACCGGGTTTTCCCAAACCAATTCCCCAGGTCTTCCCAAACCAAGCGGGTTTCCTCAAACTAGCATTCTGGGTCTTCTACAACTGAGGGTGTTCTCAAATCCTTATAGAACCCGGAAGGCAGGTCTACCCTAGGCCTACCCCCTAGGTTTACCCTAGGCCTACCCCTTAGGCCTACCCCCTAGGCCTACCCCCTAGGCATACCCCTAGGCCTTCCCCGTAGGCCTACCCTAGGCCTGCCCCTCGGCCTACCCCCTAAGCCTGAGCTAGGCCTACCCCTAGGCCTACCCCCCCGACCGCTCGTTAGGGCCCGCCCGCCCGACCCGACCCGACCAGCCCGTTAGGGGCCGCCCGACCGACCCGACCCGACCCAAACCGCCCGTTAGGGCACTCGCGTGTCAACTCGATCACGCACCACACTTTGATGTCCCCCCCCGCCCGACCCGACCCGCCCGTTAGGGCCCGCCCGCCCGACCCGACCCCACCCGCTCGTTCGCCCGCCCGGCCCGACCCGACCCGCCCGTTAGGCCACTCGCGCGTGAACTCGATCACGCACCACACGTCAATGTCCCGCCCGCTCGACCCGACCCACCCGTTAGGGCCCGTCCGCCCGACCCGACCGACCAGCCTGTTAGGGCCCGCCCGCCCGACTAAGAGGCCTCGCAACGACGTTGCGACGTGTTCTGTCGCCCGCATCGTTTACTAGGGCGCCACTGGCACCTTGGAGCCCCTCGAAGCCGCAAACCGTGATAGCATTCCGTGCCCTGAGGGCGCCAAGATGCTGGGGGGGCCATTGGCGTAGCCCGATTCGGTGCGAATGTTCGTGGAAGCGCGCGCTCGGCGCGGTTGGAGGATGATCAGTAGGCGCCCGCCCCCCCCCCCCCGTTTGCGATGAGATGCGCACGTTTGAAAGAGATCGAATCGACGAGAATTTGAATAAAGCACTGGTGTTCGCGTGGGGAAGTTGGTTTGGCAATCTTGGACCGCTTCGGGAAATGGTGTCGATAGCTAGTCGAACGCGTTTTCGGGATGGTACAGCTGCGATATAAGATCTTGGACATCCAAAGCCACCGTTGTCAATCGCCCCTTGCGCGCGTGCCCCGGCGAGAAGGACGAGGAGGAGGAGTTCAGCAATGGATGAGGAGGATCAGGCATTGACGGATGGCAGGATGATTGGGTCGGTTCACAGGGGGGGCAAGCAGGAGCAGGAGGATGATGGTTTGGAGGAGCAGAGGGGGCAGGATGAAGAAAAGGCATCGGAGCTTCGCCAATCATTGCCTCATCCTCTGGTCAAGCTGCTCTGGGTGACAAGCCGTCACCTCATCAGCCCTCTTATTTCTACACTTTTCTCACGATTGCTTACTTGAATATCTCATCGCCTCTCGAGCGTGCGATCTGACCCCAGGCCCTGGCAGATGCCTCCTGCCAACTCGTCCTTGCGAGGGGCCTCCAGAATGAATTCCATTCATTCACCCTCGAGCAGCAGGCCAGCTGTCCACGGGCACAAGTTACTTCATACCGCATGCCATGCAAGATGACTGGAGGGGTGGAGAACCAAATGCGAGAAAGTCTACTCTGAGAGGAGACGAAAATAATCAAAGAGGTCCCACTCAGAGCCCAAACCCTCAAACTCAAAAGTGGCCCAGGAAATTTCAGCGAGACCGATGCCCCCCACCAGCCTGAACAACAAACTTAAGCCGCTGCTCAGTCCTCCTGAGGCGTCAGGGCCGTGATCCACTCATTCTGGCACGACGCGTCCTTGCCTGCCTTCTCCTTCGAAACTTTAATCTTCTTGAGCCGCTCCACCCCCTTGTCGTCGGGGTCGGCGGCGCCCGCGCGGAAACCGAGAGAGGCCTGGCCTGCCACGCGCACGGCGAAGATGAAGCCTGGGGCAGGTCGGGGCGCCGAGAGAGCAGAACGCAATAACATGAGAAGCCTTACTAATTGATGTCAAAACGATGTCATACAGGAGCTCGTGTAGTTGTTTGCCTGGATTCGCAACACTCCGAACAAAAAACTTGGGAACTCTCAGCATTAAGGATGAGGGGGGCGAAAAGCAAGGTGGAACCTGCAGGCAGGCAGGCGGCAGTGGCGCCGTCGACTGTCGCGCGGAAGAGCACGCCGCCAGAAATCTTCTACTGCTCAATGGCATGCTTCGTCATGCCCCTCCGGTAGCTGTTGAAGTCTGGCATCTGTAACTTCGCGATGTCCACCTTCTGGCTTTCCATGAAGGCGGCCAGAGTAGGCAGCTCGGTCACCGCGATCTTGCGCGCGCCCGAGATGCCGAAGCGAAGACTTGGCAGGAACTCCTTCTCGGTGCCGAAGCTGCCCACCCCAAACATGACGGCGAAGATATTCGGGGCCATGCCACCCCGCACCTTCTCTGGCGCAGCAGAGTCCACGATGATGTCCTTGATGCAGGTCTTGGCGTACTCGCGCACAGACGACTGCGCGCTCTCAGGCACCTTGCAAGACGTGCGGCCATCCTTCTCCTTCCTGATTTTCTGCTCGAACTTCGCGACCAGCTTCGTGAAATGAGTGATCTGCGCGGTCACGACGTCGATCTTCTCAAAGGCCTCCTTGTTCTGGCTGACTCCGACGATGAAGGGCGCAGAAAAGTCGACACCATCCGCAGCCACTGGGAAAGCAGTGATCTCCTGACCGATCTGCGGGGCTATCTCGAACAGCTCCACGGTCGCTGATTCCAGCTTTACTGGAACAGCTGCTTGCTGCGAGGCCATTGAACTCTTTTTATCGATCGTCTTCTTCGCTCTGGCGATGTCGTTCAGCGCCTTGTTGCAGCAGTTGATCAAATCAGTGGTCGGAGCCTTGTTCGTCTGAAATATGTTGGTTATCTCTTTGATGCCATCGATCGATGAAGCCCCGTCCAGCTCGTCGACGAAGCTGGCGCGGGTCGACTGCAACACCAATTACTTTTGACTGCCGCAAGGTGGCATCTGGCCGAGCTGCTGGCTCGCCAGCTCGGAGCTCGCCCCGTCAGCAGCAGCCTTCTCCGGGCTGGCCTGAGGTCCAGGAGCAGGTTGAGCCTCGAAGGTCCGAATCTACGAATCAAGTTCTCGTTGAGCAATGCCCGTCACGTGTCCGATGGCCTGAAACCGCACTTGTGCCAACGCCAACACGCCTCTGAACAACTTCTTCTTGGCTTCGTCCATGCTGTTGATGTCATCGTTGGACGCCTTGAGCTTGCTGTGGAGATCATTCGTCGAGGACTGGGCCGTATTCATCTGGGTCCTCAAGGTCCGACGAGCCGCATTGACTTCGCCGGCGATGTCGACCCACTTCGCCTTCGGCTTCCCAACAACCGCCCTGGCCGTCTTCGGTTCAACCTCGTCGCGGCCGCCGGTGCCTCCACGTGGGCGTTTGTTACCGCCCTTGCCGCCCTTGTTGCCAGCAGCTGCGTCCATGGGGTCCTCCTTGAAGTCAGCATCTTCATCGTCGTCGCGACGGCCCAGGACGGTGACGTCTGGGAGTTGCATGCCCACTTGGCTGAACGCCTGGCCCGAGCCAGAAGAAACCATTCCGATGGCGACGTTCTGCATTTCGGAGCTGCTCGCGCCTGTACCCATCTTGTCGAAATTGCGGAAAGTCTTGCCTCTCAAACTGTCCCACTTTTCCTCAGTCGGTTCTTGATCGATGCCTCGGCCCTCTCGATATGCTTCTCAATCGTCGCAGCATTCTTGAAGTTGACATGCTTCCCCATGAACACCCGCAATTGCATGGGTTTCTTGGGGTTCGGTCCGCCCATGTCCATGGACATCTTCCTCTCCTTGTAGTTCGCTGCCATGTCATCCCATTTTGCCTTGGCCTCGTCGGCCCCAAGGGCACCACCCGGGGTAGTCTTCCAATAATCGATGGCCTTGTCCTCCCACATCATCTTGCCCGCGTCGATGTTCTCGACGCCCTGCTCAGTCTTGTAGACCTCCGTGTACTGCGCGACCATGAACCGAGCCTTCTTGGTGTCCTCCGCGCTGGCGATGATCTTGCGGTAGTGGTCTAGCATCTTCTTTACTTTGGCATCGTCTGCTTTCTGCTCGGCCAACCATGTGGTTTCGCCTTGAGTTTTGGCTTGGCCGTATATGCGGTCCAACACCTTCCTACATTTCTGCTCGAACCTCTGGTTCATCTCGAAGGTCTCCACGGGCTGTGACTCGTCGCATCCGGGGCGCCAGAAACCCCGCACGCTGCTTGCGCTTCTTCGACTTCGCCGTCGCATTGACTTCCGGCCTCTGCTCTGGATGCGGAGTTGGAGGCAGCGGCAGCAGGGCTCCAGCCTCGGCTTGACCTGCCTCTCCATCAGCTTCAAACATCGTTTCGAACTCCGCGCCGTCAGCCATGGTCGCTGGCACAGTAGCTCACAGCCCATGCGATCCTCAAGCTCGCTTGACCCCAAATGGGCTACTGATGAGGCACTGCACCGCAACTGGCTTACATATGTCCAAGTGACTTGGCCAGAGGACGTCACTGTGGAAAACCCCAAAAGGCTGAAGACCCCAGCACGGGCGACAGAGCCCGTCGGTTTAGGGGGGCAGGAGGTGCAAAGGAGGAAGAGGAGGAAGTGGATGGAGGAGCAGTCTGATGGGTTGGAAGAATCAGGAAGGCGATGAGGATGAGGATGGGGGAGTGCGCGGAGGAAGAGGAAGAGGAGGAGGAACAGGAGGTGGTAGACATTCCAGGATTGTTCGCAGTCGCCGAGCATCTCCAAGACGGCCTGAGAGCCCTCCAAGACGCCCGATGAGGCCTCCGAGAGCACCCGCACGAACGCCCTAAGAGGCAACATCCGTTGATGGTCACGGGGCGTGTGACACAACGGTTATGCTACAGCATGTAGTCTCTTACCCCAGGAACAGCACCTCCGGGAAGGCTCTCAGGAGCCCCCCCCCCCCCGAAAGGGCCCCAGAGGGTCCCGAGATGGCGCCCAGGACGGCCCAAGGAGACTTACGAGTCCAAACAGGGCGCAAGAGAGGTGCTGCCACCGCCGCGAGATCTCAACTTAACCAATATCCAATAAGAGGCCTGGAGCCCACAACCCAGGATGGGTGGCGGATTGGTCGAAGGCCGTTGGATATTTCCGGTCTTCAGAAGCTCTCTTGAAGCTCTGATGGGGCCCTCTTTGGAACCTCGTGGAGCCTTCCTTTGGGCCAGGGGGCGTTGCCGACTCCAGCTCGCCACGTCGTTCAGAGCGCAAGCATGCCTCGGCTCCGAGGGGGGTCCAGATTCGCAGTGCGATCTCGAGTTCGAGAGAATCGAAGCGAACGATGACTCTCCAGCGGGCGATGGGCCATCATTCATGTGCACAACAGAAAAGCATGTAGCTGTTTATTCCTACATTCCTCCTGCCTCCTCCCCCTCTACCTACTACTCCTCTCCCTCCTGTTCCCCCTATCGTTTTCTTCTCCCCCATCCAGCCTCCATCCCCGTCTTCCTCCCATCCTTTGCGTGGCATTCCTCGCGCACCCTCTCGGTCAGTTATCCGGCAACCCGAGTGGCCATTAGCGCCTATTAGCGGCCATTAGCGGCGGCCCCAAGGCAGCCTGAGTAAATTCCAGAAGCAGACCGAAGGCGGCCCCCTGATGGCCCGCGCGCCTCTCCGCGCAGACTCGGGGGCGAGGGGAAAACAGCATTCACGTTGAGCAACGGTAGAGAGGGCAGACGCGCGGCGGACGTCGAGGCGATAACGCCCCCTCGGAACGACCGAAGACGCCCCGATTGGGGTGAGAGGAGAATCGCACTCATATAGAATATAAGGGCGGGCTGGAGCGGCCGAGGTCGGTGGCGGGATGGGCCGAAGGTCAGTAGATAACTTCCACGCTGGTCGCACGCTCGGACTCCTTCTGGGGGTCGTCGGAATGGCGTGAGCCACTTGAATAACGGTAGGTCTTGGCTGGGGCGGCCGAGGGCGGGGGGCACCGGTGAAGGGGAAGGAGAAAGCGGGAAAGGGGGGGGGCGGCTGACGGCGGGGGGCGCGGGTGGAGGGGCAGGGGCGGTCCACGGTGGCGACGGCGACAGCGGCGACGGCGATATCTCTTGAGCTCGCTGAACCGCGACTTGGCTTGAGAAACAATCCGCGTGCTCCCCGCACAGGCGCCCTACGCGGGCGCCCCACGCGGTCGCATCGGGCGCCGAGGCGCCGACCGCTCGGGCTCAGTCGAAGAGCGAGGCGAGGTCCGTCAGCTTCAGCTGCTTGGCCGAGTCGCCCGCCGCGGGCTGCCCCTTGCTCGAGTCGCCCGCCGAGGTCTGCTGCTTGCTGGAATCGCCATCGGACCCCCCCGCGCCCGCCGAGGTCTGCTGCTCGTGCTCGGTGGCCTTCACGCTCTTGTGGACGTACTTGTGCTGGTTGCCCTTCTGCGGCCCCTCCAGCATGCGCACCTTTCGGCGGGGCGCCGAGGGGGGGGGAGGGGGTGGGCGGAAGGGCTCTTAGAAAGCAGGGTGCTTCTTAGAAGCCCTCCGATGTCCTCCGATGGCTTCTGAGCAGCCCCTGGGGGCTTCTAAGCCGCACCCTGGATTCTGAGATGCCCTGCCCCTCCTGCTGCCCCAGTCGGCGCGCCGCCGAGCCTTGTAGGTGCTCGACAAGACCTCGAGGATCTCGCAGCGGTGGCCATTCCAGTCCTCCTTGTGCTTCGTGGAGACCCCCACCACGACGTCCCCCTTCTTGAACAAGCCCGCGCCGCCAGCTGCGCCGTGGCCCTCCGTCGCCGCGGGGGCGCCCTCGTCGGTCGCGGAGCGGGTCCCCCCCTTGGCGAGCAGCGTCGCCGCAGACACCCACTCGGCGAAAACCTCGCGGTGCTCCTGCTCGTCCACCCAGCTCTCCAAAGTCTTGCCGCCCATGCCGTGGTCGAGGCACCCTACAAGGGTCGCCGTGAGCTCGTCCTCGGCGCGGTCCCTCTTCCGCGCCATCTCCAGCGTCGCTCGCAAGCCCGCCACCCCCCGCTCGCCGCCACCGTCCGGCACCACACCTCCAGGAAGAGGCTCTTCACTTTCGGGTAGTAGATATCCGCGAGGAGGCCTCGCTGCCCCTCCTCCGACTCCTCGATCTCCTTCCAGACGCCTGCCCATGCGCCGCCCGCGGGCGGCCCCTCGGCGATGGCGCCCGCTGGAGCGCCCTCCGCGCTGCCCGCATCTGCGCCCCCGGCGATGGCGCCGGCGGGGGCGCCCTCCGCCTCGCCCGCAGCCACGCCGTCGGCGACGGCACCTGCGGGGGCGCCCTCCGCGCAGCCAGGGGCCGGCGGCGGCCCGCCCGCGAGGGCGGGCTGCGGACTCGGCGGCCCCTCCGCGGCGTCGGCGACGGCGGCCATGTGCATCAGCCAGTCTGGCATCTTGCCCTTCTTGCCCTTCGGCTTGACGAAGGCCTTGGCGGCGACGACGACTGCGCCGAGATCTTGCCGCGAAAAGGCGGCGGTGCCTGGGCCGAAATTCGCCGAGGCATCCCGGAACGTCTCCTCGCCCCCCTCGGCGAGGCCCAGGCGCTCGGAGAAGGCGAGCCGTTCAAGGATCTCGAACCACGCGGACGTCTTCTGCTGGTCCCAAGCGGGCATGCCTTGCAACGCTGTGAGGAATGCGCACGCCTCCTCGACCAGCGGGTTCTGCGGCTCGATCCCGGCCTTCATCAAGAGGCGGCACCCCTTCTCGAACGCGGAGTACGTGATGTCATCGAAAGGCGGAGCCGGCCCCGCCAGGGTGACGGCGCGACACATGTCGCTGTCGGGGGCCCACTCCTGGACGACCGCCAGCGCGAAGTCGTCGGTGAGGGCCCACTCAACGCGCGCGGCCAAGGGGAGCTTCGGGTCAAAAGCCTGCAACGCCGTAGACGCGTGCTTGTACACGTCCGGCGCCACGTCGTCGGCGGTGGCCGACACGATCTCCTTCAATGCCTGTAGCTGGTCCTGGCCCGTGGCCGCCTTCGCGCGGTCGAGGTCCCGCTTGAAACGGAAAGCCAGGAAACTCTCATAGCAAGGGGGCCCCCGGAAGCTCATGCGGTCAGCAGAGGACGCCCCCGCAAGCGCGGGGAGCGCGTCCGACTCGAGGCCGATCTTCGCCAGCTCCCGCACGAGCAGTGGGAGGCCCGCCACCTCGGCCCCGAGCTCTTCGAACGCGTCGAACGTCTTGCAGAAGGGCGGGAGGCACTCGTAGCTGCGGTGGCCCAAGAAGAGGTTCGCGGCAAACGCGCACACTCGCGTCATGACGGCAGCCAGCCCGTCCGCCGCCGCCAGCGGCTGGCCCCTCTTGACCTCCTTCATCGTCTCCACCAGCTCGCCCATGAGGAAGTCCACGGAGTCCACGCACAACTTGCTGTGCGCCGTCCACCGGCCCGCCTCCGCGGCGCTCTTGATCTTGTCCTTCAGCGCCAGGATCACGTCCTTCTGCAATCGGGCACGCTTGGCCTCCTGAGGCGACCCCGAGAATTTCGCTCAGACGGGGGCCCCCGAAGCGACCTGAACTCGTTTGCTGGTTCGGCGGGGGCAGGGGTGCACATTGCCCCGTGTCTGAGCGACATTCAAGGTTTGCCGCCCCGCCTTGTTCTCGGTGTCTGCCACGAAGGGATCCGACGAGTGCCGCTTCACCTCGCGGCGCGGCTCCGCCGCGGGCTCCAGCGGCCCGGGCGGGACCCCGCCGCCAACGGCGCCCGCGTCGACCCCCGGCGAAGGACCCGGCCTGGCTCCTGGATTGCCGGCGGCGGGCGCCGGGCCGGCCCCTGCCTCGTCCGCGCCAGACGCTGCGCCGTCGCGGCCCGGGGGCTCGCCGGCGGCCGCGCCAGGCTCCGGGCGGCCCCCGAGCTTCAAGCGCTTGTTGGACGAGTTCCGGAAAGACAGCTCCCGCACCTTCTTCCCCAGGACGGATTCGTCCTTCGCCGAGAAGAAATCGAGGATGAAGAAGTTCTCCAGGTCGAGCTGGGCCATGTCCATGGAAGCCAGCCGATGCTCTGCAAGGTCGTCCTCGGACAGCTCTGCCTTCGCGAGGGTCTCCGGGGGCCCCCGGGGGAAGTTGGCCTTGGGCACCGCCAACGCCCGCAGAGCCTGCGAACTGCTGGCCTCGAGCTCGTCCTTCGCCTCATGCAGCCACGCGAGGAATAAGCCAACGGTCATTCTTTCATTATCGCCCAAATTGTTCCTCAGCGAGATGTATAGCTTGATCTGCTTCTCGTCGGTGGGGTCCACACCGGCGCCCGAGGACGGTCGTAGGGCGGGATCGCTCTGGCCCAGAAACGGATGGTAAGCAGAAGCCTGAGCCTTGGGCCAAAATGACTACGGAACAAGAACACCTTGACCATCAAGCAGAGAAGACCCTCGAGGTTGCTCTCACTAGCGCCCTTTGAGTTGGATCCCCGGGAGGGGTTAGG